CACACACACACACACACACACACACACACACACACACACGAAACTGCTACTGTCAATTATGTAATAGTCATTTAATACTGGTATCAGTATTTATGTGGTACTGAAATTGGCATTGAGAATTGTGAAGTTGAGAATTGTGACCGCTCCTACATGAAGTCATGTGACAGTGCAGCATACAACGGTTTGAAATGTTCATTGCATTATACATTTTTCTTTTTTAATTGGTGGTTAGCATACATTGCATACTGCACACTATGAAGTAAACCGGAATCCCATTCTGAACATAACCAAACATACTGAATTACACTTGAGGCAGCCCACTACTACTACTACAAATACAGATTGCTGGGATGCTGTAAACGCTGAAATAACCATCCCACTTTTGGACTTTACAGTATTGCTTGCAGAGGGCAGATCATTTCCTGCTAAAAACCAAATATAGGCATTCTCTGTGTAGACTGTAAATGAAGCAATTGTACTCACTTTATAGCAGACGTTGAGATCTGCTTCTAGATGGATTGGCTCACTTCCTGGAATCGGACTGGTTCCTGTTGACCAAAACCTGCAGGGCTATTCTGGGCCACCTCACCTTTAGAGGCAGAGGAACCCAAACTGTTAACTCGATGCTGGCTTTGCTCCGCTATGGCAGAGGGAACAATAATGTAATTATTTTCTGACTAAAAATCACATTTCTAACATGCAGTGAGATTCTGGTGGTGCGCTTTGGTGCAGACCTTGTCTGTAGCTGCTGGAAAGTGTAGGAGACATCCTTCGGATGGCACCTTGGCCAAACTCACTTGGAATGGCAGTAATAAGCCTGGTGCCATCTGTATTTACAGCGAATTGGCTTTGGACTACTTCGGGATAACGGGCTGAAGAACTAACAGAATTTTGTTCAGTTTGACCTGGTCTCTGGCCCAGGTAACTTGGAGGTAAGGAACTTTGGAAAACGCCACTGCCACCAGAAGCCCATTGGTTCTGAAAACTACCAAAGCTGCTTGTGGGTGGTTTATTAAGTCTTACGTGGACTGTATTGATCTCATTAGTGGCACTGAATCCTAATTTACTTGTAGAAGGCCTTGAAAGCACTGTATTTGGTTTGTATGGGGTTCTCTTCACAGAAGAGAAGGGCTGATACCCAGTTTGGGAAGAGCTGGCATAAGTGCTAGTGGCTGGCTGGACATTTCTGGAATTCTGGTTCACTTGAAAAGGTTGGCATTCATGAGCAGTCTGACCTGGGGCAAATGGTACTTTACGCTCTGGAGAGCTAGTATGAACTTGGGGTTTATTGGATTCTGCTCCATCGTGAATATTTGCAGGAGCCTGAATCATCAGGATTGCTCGAGAACTGGCAATTGAGGACTTGGTCACATCATGTTGAGCCCCACTTCGAGAGGGGTACATAGGCTCAAAGATTTTATTAGGTTGACCATGGATATTGTAGGTCTGCTGGAATTTGGGGCGAGTAGATTCATAGTGAGGTGGTAATGCGTTTCTTTGAGCACTTTCTGAGGCCTCAAGAAGAACACCACCAGAGCTGCCAATTGAAGACCTAGCATCGCTGTCCCTACAATCATTTTTGGAAGGCTTTCTTGGCTCATGACTGGGATTGTATTGAGTTCCACTCATGGAGTAGTGTAGAGGTTCATTCCAGGACTTGCCCTGACTGCTGGCAGTCAATCTAGTATCTCTAAAGATCTGACTGGCCTGATAGGGGTCAACATGACTGGGAACTCCAAGTGGTTTTACTGAATCTGGATGCCCACTATAGCCACCAAGATCTTGAGCGTTTCCTCCACCTTGAACTACAAAGATTGGCCCTGAGCTAACAACCAAAGGCTTGGCCTCAGTGTACTTAAGCCCATCATGAGAGGTTTTTCTTGGATCCATACTTGAATACCCAGGTATCCCCTTCAGCAATGGTCCATAACTGCTACTGGCTGTCTGGAGTTTGCTAGTACTCTGGCTCCCCTCAGATGAACTATACTGATGGGAAACCGGACTTGAGATGGAGTTTGACCCAGCGTTTGGGCCTCTTGCAAGTAGGTTTCTAGTAACTTCAGAGCTGAACTCCATAAGGCCATGTGTGTTTTTAGGAGGCTTTACTACAAACATCTTGTTAGATCCAGCAGTTTTAGTTACCTCGTAACTAGATTCACCTCTAGATG